CTGTATTCTGAAAACTGTAAACATTGAAGAAATAAAGTGAAGAAAATACAAATTAATGGAAGGATATACCTTGCTCATAGATTAGAAGGATTAATATTGTTTAAATGTCCTTACCACCTAAAGTAATATACAAATTCATTAATACTAAAATATTTTTTCTCAGAACTAGTACAACTAATCCTAAAGTTTATATGAAACCACAAAAGACCTCAAATAGCCAAAGAAACCTTGAGAAAGAACGAAGGGCGGGGGGTGCTACCACATTCCTGACTTCAAGTTAGACTATAAAGGTATAATAATCAGCAGTATGGTACTGGCAATAAAACAAAATATATAGATCAGTGCAATAGGATAGAGAACCCAGAAACAGATCCTCACTTATACAGTCAATTAATCTACAATGAAGGAGGCAAGGATATACAATAGAGTAAAGACAGTTTCTTCAGTAAGTGGTGTTGGGAAAACTGGATAGATGCTGGTAAAAAAATGCAATTGGACCACTTTCTTATACCATATACAAAAATAAACTAAAATGGATTAAAGACTTAGATGTAAGACCTGAAATTAGAAGAAAACATAGGAGTACATTCTTTGACATCGGTCTTACATATTTTTGGATGTCTCCTTGGAAAGGGCAACAAAAGAAAAACAAATGGACTCAGCCAGTGTGGCTCAGTGGATTGAGCATTGTCCCTTGGACAGAGGTCCCAGTTCGATTCCTGGTCAGGGCATATGCCCAGGTTGTGGGATCAATCCCCAGGGGGCAAGCAGGAGGCAGCTGATCGAAGTTTCTCTCTCACATCGATGTTTCTTGTTCTCCTTTCCTCTCTAAAAAATCAATTTAAAAATTTTTTAAAAAACAAAAGAAAAACAATGGGACTTAATGTTTTTGCAAGGCAAAGGAAACCATCAACAAAATGAAAAGACAACCTACTGAAGTGGAGAATATATTCACAAATGATAAATCTGATAAGAGGTAATTATCAAATATTTATAAGGAACTCATACAACATTAACACCAACCTCCCCCCCCCCCGTGATATAATTAAAAATGGGCAGAATACCTGAATAGACATTTCTCCAAAGAAGATATACAGATGACCAATAGATATATAAAAAGATGCTCATTATCACTAGTCATCAGTGAAATGCACATCAAAACCACAGTGTGATGTCACCTCACCCCTGTCAGAATAGCTATCATCAACAAAACCAATAACAAATGCTGGTGAGGATGTGGGGAAAAGGGAACCCTTGTATATTGTTGGTGTGACTGTAAATTAGTGCAGACACTATGGAAATGAATATGGAGATCCCTCAAAAAAAGTAGAAATAGAGCTGCCATTACTACCCAGCAATTCCACTTCTGGGTATTTATCTGCAGATAAACAAAAACACTAACTCAAGAAGACATATGCACCCCATGTTCATTGCAGCATTACTTATAATAGCCAACATATGGAAGCAACCTAGGTGTCCATGAATAGATGAATGGGTCAAGAAGATGTGATAGATATATACAATGGAATATTACTCAGCAACAACAACAAAAAAGAATAAAAGCTCACCATTTGCAACAACACAGATGGACCCTAGGAGGGTATCATATTAAGTCAGAGTAAGGGACATATCATATGATTTTGCTTATATGTGGAAAAAAACAAACAAAACAAGACAAAACCCCCAAAATGAATGAATAAACAAAACAGAGACAGACCCAGATAGAGAACAAGCTCACAGTTGCCAAAGGGAAGCAGTGTGTGTGTGTGTGTGTGTGGTGGGGGTGAAATAAAAAATATATAAAAAAGAAGAGGGAGACATAGTATAGCATCATATGTGGTAATCATGGAGATATTAGAGACAGCATCACACATGGTAAAAAAGAAATTGAATTTCTTATTAGAGATATTGCAAGCATTTGTATGCATCAAGTTGAAATCATCTTACTGGTTTCTTATTTTGATCTTATTCTTTAATTTTAAAGTGAATGAAATGTAGACTTGCCTGAAACATGCAGAAAGGGAAAATGAAGACTGATGGAGGAGCTGGTGAAATAGAGCCCTATGAATCGTTTTATGGTAGGCTCTAACTAATAAGGACAGTTAGGAGTAAATATCCCCAGGGAGATAGGCCATGTGCATGCATTGGAAGACCAAATTTTGTTAAGATAAAAATTCTTCCCAAATTGGTCTGTAGACGCTTATCATTATCCCAGTGGCTTTTGGGGTAGAAACCGATAAGCTGGTTCTAAGATGTCATGGAAATACAAAGGACCTGGAACATCCAAGGCGACCTTGAACAAAATTGGACTTATACTACCTCACTTCAAGCCTTAACCACAATAGTAATTATGTAGTACTGGCATAGGGATAGACAAATAGATCAATAAAACAGAATAGAGTCTATAAATAGACCTACACTTACACAGTCATTTGATTTTTGATAAAGGCACCAAAGCAATGCAATGGGAAAAAGTCGTCTTAACAGTGGTGCTAAAAACAACTGGATACCCGTACAGAAAAAAGTGAATCTGACTCCAGCCTCACACCTTGCACAAAATAACTCAAAGTGGATTCTAGAACTGAACGTACAACCTAAAATTATAAAGTTCCTAGAGGAAAGTATGAGACCATATTCATGGCAAGGAGTAGTTCAGTGTTTCTTAGGACACAGAAGAACAATAAGCCATGAAGAAAATGGTAATCTATAGACTGGGAGTATATTCTGGCAGAATATAGTCACAAGATATATCTGACGAAGGACTTATACCCAATATATAAAGAACTCCTACAACTCAAGAATTAAAAGACTAACAACTAAAACAATTTTTATTTAAAGTCTAAAAACTTAAATTTGAAATTATCATTGTAGTAGCTTTCTTATTATTTAAAATTGTTCTAGAGTCCCAGGAAATTCCATGTTCAGTTTAGTAATAATAATTGACAATTATCAAACTTTTAAATATGTACCATGTACTGAGCTAACTATTTTGCACAGCAATCTCCTTTAGTCATCAGGAGCCCTAAGAGGGTAGGGACCACTATTAATTGGTTTTACAGATGAGGAAAGTGAGGCTCAGTAATGCAAACTGGTCCAGTGTCACAACAATACTTGCCATTTCAAAACCCTGCAGGGCATTTGGATTTCTACTGATGAATACTTACCCTCGCCTCACTCAAACTTGACAGAGAATAAAATGCAAACTGAATCTACATGATAGACATTACTAGTTTTTGGCCGAATTCTTATCTCCTGATAATGTTTTTTTGTGTGTGTTATGCTCTTTCCCCAGTGTTAAACCAATTTCAAGTGAATGCAAGAATGAGTGTTAGACCATTTTTAGGAAGGGTCATTTTTCACCAGGTATTCTAGTTCAGTGGATTTTCACTTCACTTCAAATCATATGTGAACACACCTTTGTAAAATATAATCCAAAGCGAAGAGTTAGGGAGCCTGAAGCTCTGCCTTCCCCATTCACTCCTGCATAATCTGCCTTAGGCGATGGAAATTCATGTATACATGTACTCATGCAGGCATATATAAAGTTCCACAAAACAATACTTATAATACTCCTATGATAAATGGTACATTTTAAACTTTGTGATAATCACCAAACTGACTATTAAAAGTTTAAAACCCATCTTTTGAAAAACTCTGCTCTATGGTATGTGCTGACTACACGTCTTGGGTCAGTCTTTATTGACATCACCAGTGAAAACTGGAGAACTTGCTGAAAATATACCATCTGCGTCTGAGTAGACACATGGAGAACTCTCAAAAGTATTCTCAGGTTTATAACATAAATGATAACTTATTCCAGTTCTTGGGAAAATAGAAATCTCTCTTCACTTAATCCTTTCCAGTAAAACAGGCTAGAAGGTTGGTGTTTAATTATTTTTAATTTATCTTGGAGGCAGAGACTGATGAGGTAGCAGCCAGAGATTTCCTTAAGAAGCTACTTGTTTCGAATTTCAAGCTGCATAATTCTCTAGTATTAAATTTTCTTTGAAGGAGTAACCAAGCTTTTTCTTCTTATCCAAAGTAGGGAAGGAGAGGTCATAAATGAAAAACTTGAGATAGCTTTGAGATTCTAGAAGCTGCTGCTGTGAGCTGGGTGTGAAACAATTACCCCTGCCACCAGCTGCCATATTGATACTGCTCTGTGAGCAAACAGAGGGCTCACCATATTTTCAAACTGCTGTTTCATACTGATTGGCTACTTGATACTAGTATCTTCTGCCACTTTAAAACACAGAGGACAGACTTAAAGCTGAGGCTCAGTGTGAGGGACTGCCCAGTCAATGATGGGGAAGACAAGACAATCAAACACCTCAAGACCAGAGTAACAAATCACAAGTCAAGGTTGGAATGATTTCTACTGTATCTGGCTCCATAGTGACGGTGGAAACAAAATCAACTGCAAATAAACTTAGGATTCTGCAATGTAATTGTTTTTAATATATTTAAAAGCACACAGATGTCTCCTTGATTTATAAAAAAATAAATTCATAACGTGACAAATTTCTTCATAATCCTGGGGCTCTTATGAGGTCAAACTCTTTAATAGAAATACACATGATCAGTTACACACACACAAGCATATTCCAGTTGTAACAGCAAATTCCTTCAAGGACTGGAACGAACAAAGATGTTTTCTACTGGACAAAGTATGTCCAGAGCTAGGCAACAAGGTTAGGCCCAGCATGGTAGTCTCTGACCAGCTGGCCTATAATCTAAGAAGCCAGGACAGGAAGGCACAGCCCTTCAGCTTGCATGGCCACCCACCACCCTGCAGGTCAGCCAGGCTTCTAAACCAGTGCAGAAGGGCTGATTCCCACGAAGGCCCCATAGGGCTCCTGCCTCACTGTGACTAAAGCATAGGAGAGGTGAATTTGTCCTTACTTGGGGCTGCCTTAAATTTGAGAGAAGACTGAGAAAGTATGCTCATTAAGTATTTTCATTGTAACACTGAATGGAAATCATGACCTTGCCCACGAGCACTGAGCATGCACTTCTGAAGGGGGCAGGAGGGAGGTGTTTTTTCCAGCAGGCATGCACTCCAGAGTGAAGAAGTCTGGCCTGAAATACTTGACAATGCTGTGTAAACTGGGATTTGGGATTCGGGTCTTTACCCCTATAACACACAACATAAAAAATAAAAATCCAGTCTCAGTAGTAGATAAATTTTGATTAAAACCTGAAATGTTTTTGCATAATTGTCAATAGGCTGGAATGTATCTGATCTGCTGTTGTCTCGTTGGCTGTCTTTGAATTAAATCTAGAAACTGTTTTGACACCTCAATCCTATTTTCCAAACCAATTAATTCCTGTAATTCTTAAATTGGCTAGTTCTCCCTCTTCAGAAAAATTATCCACAACAACCTTCCTAATAGTGAGAATGTACTTCTGAATAGAAGAGGCCTTCAGCTGAAATGGCATCTCCAAGGCCCACAGTTCGAATAGGATCTTTACACACTAATACAGGTGTGAAGTGGAAGGACACCCCCTCCCGGTGCCATTCTACCACTGGCTCATCAGGGTTGAATATGATCCTGGAGCCTGCCTCCGAACGGGAAGTCAGGAACTCGTGCGGTGCCCTCAGAGACACTTGGCTGGTGTCTATGGTTTCTGTTGCACAGGCCTGTGTCCCAGCCACACGAGCTCCTGCAGCCACAGCTGCCAGCTGATTCGCCCAGTGTCCATCCACAGTTGCCAGGATGTGGTAGACCAGCGTGTGGAAATGGATCCTGGTGAGGTCTGAGGCTTTGCTTTTACTCTTCCCATGTTCCTTCAAGATCCAAAATAGGATGTCACTGACCATGCCCACATCAGGAACACCATTCCAAGAAGAGAGAGAAGAGTGAGGTCCAGCTGCTGACTGGCTGAGAAATAACAGCTCCTGTTCATTCAGCCCAAGGGAAGTCACTGTGTGAAAGACCTGCTAACAGAAACAAAATGACAGTCTCTGATTCACAACAGAAAGGTATCTTAGGACATAGCCAATGACTAAAGTCAGGGAAGGAAGGCAGGATGGATAACATCTTCCTTACAAGACTTCCTGCCCCTGAAGTCTGTGGCGGGGAAATGACACATCACAGGTTCCTGTTTTTACCATCACACCTCTATCTCCACCTTTATCACTCGAGATAAACTTGGAGGTTGCAGTAACAGTCTTAGAACCAGTCTTTTCTTATATGCCACTACAAGACAAAGGGCAGAGGTGTACATTATTTTGTATTTCTTTCTATGGTGCCTAGCTTTGCATATTTAGCAGACCCTCTTACCATTGATGGGACATGACTCTCAGTTCCTTAATGTCAGCAGGCATCATATCAGTAAAATGGAGAAAGCCCCAGCAACACAGTCAGGGTCACAATGAAACTGTGTGCTCAGTACCAAGGAGCAAGAACAGTTTCATGTTAGAGCTAAGCTTTTTAGGCAGTTGTGGGTGAGGAAGACTTTATTTAGTAATAACATCGAAAAAGGGCACCACAGGAAACATTGAGCCTATTTTGTTTTGTTTTTAAATTCTTTCTAAATTACAGTTGATATACAATATTACATTAGTTTCAGGTATACAACCCCATGATTAGACATTATATAACTTACCTGATAATTGTCATACCCATCTGACACCGTGCATAGTTAGAATATTATTGACTATACTTCCTATGCTGTACCCTACATCCCTGTGACTATTCTGTAACTACCAATTTGTACTTATAAATCCCTTCAGCTTTTCATCCATCCCTCCAACCCCTTTCCCATCTGGCTGTTAAAATGTTCTCTGTATCTAGTATGTTTCTGTTGTTATTTATTTTGTTTATTTGGATTCCACATATAAGTTAAATCATCCAGCATTTGTCTTTCTCTGACTTATTTCACTTAGCCTAATACCCTCTAGGTCCATTTATGTTGTTTCAGATGGCAAGATTTCATTCTTATGGCTGAGTCATATTCCATTGTATATATGCACTGCTTTCTTTCTTTTTTTTTAATCCTCACTTGAGGATATTTTTCCATTTATCTTCAGACAGAGTGGGAATGGGGAGGGGGAAGACAGCGACAAGAGAGAGATGCATCAACTGGTTGCCTCCTGCACAACCCCAACCAGGGCTGGGGACAAACCGCAACCAAGGCATGTACCCTTGACCGGAATCGAACCCACGGCTCTTTAGTCCATGGGCCGACGTTCTAACTGCTGAGCCAAACTGGCCAGGGCAACGCACCACTTATTCTTTATCCATTCACCTGTTGATGGACACTTAGGTTGCTTCCACATATTGATTATTGTAAATAATGTAACAAACATGGATGTATATGTCTTTTTTATTTAGTGTTTTGTGTTTCTTTGCATAAATATCCAGAGGTGGAGTTGCTGGGTCCTTGTTTGTCTCGTTTCCTTTGTTTTAAAGTCTGTTTTGTCTGGCATAAGTATTGCTGCCCCAGCTGTTTTTTTCTATCCCTTCACTTCCAGTCTGTGTGTGTCTTTTGATCTGAAGTGAGTCTCTTATGTCTATTTTGTTTTTTTTAAATCCTCACCAGGGGATTTTTTATTTTTTATTACTTTTTAAAATATTTTATTGTTGAATGTATTACAGATGTTCATTTTCCCCCCATTGACCCCCTCCTCCCCACTCCCGTCCCCCTCCTGCCTTTCCCCACACTGTTGTCTGTGTCCATTGGTTATGCATATAAGTTCTTTGGTTTATTTCTTCCCAATCCCCAACCCCCTTCCCTTTGAGGTTCGTCGGTCTAGCAACCAATTTGTACTTCTTGATCCCTTCCCCTTTTCCACCCATTCCCACAACCCCCTTCCCATCTGGCAACCAACAAAATAGTTCCAGAGGATTTTTTACTAGAGAGAGCAGGAGAGAAACACTGATGTGAGAGAGAAACATGGAAAGATTGCCTCCCTTATGTACCCTTACCAGGGATTGAACCTGAAACCTTTTGGTATATGGGACAACACTCCAACCAACTGAGCAACCCGGCCAGGGCACCATATCTTTTGATTGGAGCATTTAACCCACTTGCATATAAGGTAATTGATAGATGATTTATTGCCCTCTTATTCATACTTTCGATTTTTTTTCTTCTTCTTAAAGACCCTTTAACATTTCTTGTAATTCTGGTGTGGTGATAAACTTTTTTTCCTTCTTGTCTGGGAAACTCTCTATCTGTCCTTTGATTCTAAATGAGAGCTTTGCTGGGTAAAGTAGTCTTGGTTGTTGGGCCTTGCTTTTCACCCCTCTGAATTATTTCATGCCAATTCCTTCTGCCCTGGAAAATGTCTGTTGAGAAATCAGCTGAGTCTTATGTTAGTTCCCTTGTAGATAACTACTTTTCCCTTGCTGCTTTTAAAATTCTCTTTTATCCTTTTAATTATGGCATTTTAATTATGATATATCTTGGTGTGGACCTCTTTGGGTTCACCTTGTTTGGGACTCTGTGCTTTTTGGGCTTGAATGTCTATTTCCTTCACCAAGTAGGAAGGAAAGTTTTCCATCATTATTTCTTCAAATAGGTTTTCAGTCTCTTGCTCTTTATTCCCCTTCTGGTACCCTTACGATATAAATGTTGGAACGTTTGATATTGTCCCAGAGGCCCTAAACTATCCTCATTTTTTCTTTATCCTCATCTAAGGATATGTTTCTATTAATTTTCAGGGGGGGAGGACATCTATTCATTCTGTATGCGCTCTGACCGAGGACCAAACCCTCAACCCAGGTATGTGCCCTGACTGGGAATTGAAACTGCAACCTTTTGGTGTATGGGACACTAACCAACTGAGCCATGTGGCTAGGACACTATCCTCATTTAAAATATTTTTCTTTTCGGTTCCTGCTAGGGGCACGTACCTCGGTTGCTGTTTGTCCTCGGCCCTGGTTGGGTTGTGCGGGTGGCAACCATTCGATGTGTCACTTTCATGTCAATGTTTCTCTCCCTTCCACTGCCTGAACAAAAAATGGAAAAATGTCCTCGGGTGAGGATTAAAAAAAAAAAATTTCTTTTTGCTGTTCTGATTGGGTGTTTTCTGCTTCCATATACCCCAAGTTGCTGACTTGATGTCTCTGCTTCACCTACTCTACTGTTGATTTCCTGTAAATTATTAATTTCAGTTGGCTTAGCCTTCATTTCTGACTGGTTCTTTTTTATGGTTTCCGTGTTCTTTTTTATGCTGTTGAAGTTCTCAGTAAGTTCCTTGAGCATCCTTATAATTGTTTTGAACTCTGTATCTGGTAGATTGCTTGCCTCCATTTCATTTGGTTCTTTTTCTGGAGATTTCTCCCGTTCTTTCATTTGGGACCTGTTTCTTTGTCTCCTCATTTTGGCTGTTTCCCTGTGTTTGTTTCTATGTACAGTTGTCCCTCACAACTCTGCACTTCAACTTGCATGGCTTCACTCAATCACAGTTTTGTCAAATATATTCATTAAAAAGTTGATTGAGACGAGACAGTGAAAATGATACAGTGCGCGCTCGATTGTCTGAGTCAATTATACACCCCTGTATTGTAATTACAATTAAAATTATTGTATGTATGGACTGTAGGCCTATGTATTCGAGCACCCCAGGGATCCTTCAATGTCAGGTGCAACAGCTAGAGTCTGGAACAGATTAATCATGATAAACGAGGGACGACTGTATTAGGTAGAACTGCTGACTCCCTGATTTGGAAGGGTGGCCTTGTGCAGTAGATGTCCTGTAGGGCCTCGTGGTGCAGGCTCTCTGGTCACTGAGCTGGGTGCTCTAGGTGTGTCCCATGTGAGCTGTGTGCACTCTCCTTTTGTAGCTGAGCTGAGTGCTGTTGTCACATCTTTGGGAGGGATTTATCCCTAGGCTGACTGGCTGCAAGAACCAGCTGCAATTACAATAGAGGAGCTGCTGTACAGGGGCTGACCCCATGGAGCAGGACTCACTTCACTGGAGTTTTGGTGCCTGCTGAGTCCGCCCCTTAAGTCTGTCATTCGTGGAGGTGGGTTGTAATGCAGTGTGGTCTGAAACTGTCCACCAGGTACACTGGCTCTGGGGCCTCCTGGGAGGTACAAGGTCAGCCACTGCCTGGGACCACCTGGCATGGGCTACAGAGCAATCTGCAGATGGCTGCTACTTGTGCTGGGCTTGGAGGTGCTCAGGAGAGGCCAGGATGCTGAGGCTGGCAGCTACTAGTGCCAGGTCTGGGGCCACTTAGCAAAAGTTACGGGGTATGCACAGACCAAATCCTGCTTGTTTGATAGACTTTAGGAAAGTCTGAAGCATGAGCCAAGGGGCTGTTTGTATGGAAAACTACTGGAAAATGCTTGGGTAGATCCAAAAATTGGGAGGGGTAGGGTCTCAGGAATCACCAGGGCTGGGCTAGGAGTGTTAGCCAGGTTGATGGAGACTCAGATATGGCACCAGCCTGCCAACCTTGGAACAGTGGCCACTGCCAGTACTTCTGTCTGAAAGGAAGCTGCTCCTCTAGCCCTTGCTGGACAATTCAGTTCCTCCTTTCATGTCCCTGGTGCAATTCAAACTGCTACCCCAGCACTGGAGCTCAGAGTGAGTGAGTCCAAGTTAAGTGTGTGCGTTCATGGGCCCTTTAAGAAGACATGGGACTCTAGAAGCCCTCCCAACTCACTCAGTCATAATCTCTGCTGGTCTTTACAGCCAGAAGTTATAGAGACTTCTATTCCCAGCACTGGAACCCTGGGCTGGGGGTTCTGATGTGGGGCTGGGACCCCTTACAATGATTAACTTCCATACATGGGTGTGGGACCAGCCCATTCTGAGCCTCTGCCCCTCCTACTAGCCTCAGTGTGGCTTCTTTTTTATATCCTTAGTTATAGGATTTTGATTTAGCTGGATTTCAGGTGTTCTGAGTGATAGTTATTCTATAATTTTGTTGTGGTTGTGGGAGGTTCTAAGTACCATGTTTACCTCCACCACCATCTTGACCAGAACTCTCTGTTGAGCCTGTTTTCTAACCTAAAGGGAACCACTATGTCCACCTCACTATCTATCTTTCTTAGCATTTTCATCCTTACAGCCAGAGAAGTACATATAAGATTAATGTTAGTGCAAGAGGGATAAGCCCCTATATGTATGCAGGCATGTAGGTATGGGTAGGGGGATATGTGTATGTATTTATATTTATTTAAAAATCAATGGCCTGTACCTTTGTTAATGTAATAACAATTCCATTTACTGCACATTCTATTCCAGTAACAGAGCTAATGGCTTTATTCCACTCAATTCTCACTGTAACCCTCGAGGGAAGGAGGAAGGGAGGGATTGCTTCCATTTTATAGATAAGGGGGCTGAGGAGAGGTTAAGTAGACAGTCACAGAAAATGAAATAAAAATGGTTACTATTTTTTTTTAAATCCTCACCCGATATTTTTCCATTTATCTTTAGATAGAGTGGGAGGGAGGTGGGGAAAGAGAGAGAGAAACATCGATGTGAGAGAGACACATCAACTGGTTGCCTCCCGCACGACCCCAAGGCCAGGGACAAACCGCAACCGAGGTACGTGCCCTTGACTGGAATCGAACCCATTGAGCCAAACCGGCCAGGGCAAAAAATGACTTACTTTTTAAAAAGTGAGCCCTGGCCGGTTTGGCTCAGCGATTGGAATGTTGGCCTGCGGACCAGAGAGTTCCAGGTTCAGTTCCCGCTAAGGGCATGTACCTTGGTTTTTTTGTCCCCGGCCCTGGTTGGGGTCTTGTGAGTGGCAGCCAGCCAATGTGTCTCTCTCACATCGATGTTTCTCTCTCTCTCTCTTTTCCTCCTTCTCTCCCTCTGCTCTATCTGAAGATAAATACAAACAAACAAACAAACAAACAAAAATCCTCGGGTGAGGATAAAAAATAAATAAATTATTATGGCCCCCCCCCAAAAAAAGTGAAGAGATAACCTCAAAAAGAGAAATGTAAATAAAAACTGTACTGAAGAACACCAAGAGTGAACCCTAATGTAAACCATTACATTACATTGAGTGGTAATGACATGTCAGTGTAGGTTTACCAACTGTACCAAGTATCACACTGTGGTACAGTATGTGTGGACAGTCAGGGAGACTGTGGGTGGGTTTGCGTAGGAGGTATACGGGAACTCTACATTCTGCTCATTTCGCTGTGCAACTAAAACTGCCCTAAAACATAAAGTCTGGGGGAGTGGCTGAGTGGAGAGGGGCAAAGGATGGGGGAAATGGGGGACATCTGTAATAGTGTCAATAAAAAAGTAAAGTTTAGCTTTTGCCTCTGTAACTTGTTTCCTGATCCTATCTCTTCTAAGTCTCACCTCTACCTCTGTGACTTTCTAAATAAACTTTCTCTTATAGTTTGAAAAAAAAAAAGAAAAGTTTATTTTAAAAACTATTGTGAAGTATAATTTTTCGCCTGTCAGATTGGTAACAATGCATGTATTTAATCATATTCTGGTCACAAGGATATGAGGAAATAATAAGCACTTGTAAAGAATTCTATTGGTAGTAAATTGGTATAATTTTCATGGAGGGTGATTTGGCAATATCACACTGACAAATGCCTTTTGTGCCCCAATCCAGCCAATTTCACTTCTGAGAATTTACTGTATTTACGTACTTATTCATGGGCAAAATAAAATCATGTACAAAGTTATTGTTTGCAGCACTATATGGAATAGTAAAATGTAATACACCAAATGCCCACTGAGAAGATTCAGGTTTAATAAACCAAGGTGCACATACATTCCTTTTATCCACATGGCTGTGAAAAGACTGAGGATGTTCTCCAAGTTATGACAGAAAAACATCTCCAAAACCCACTCAGTGAGGAGCATCTGAGATCTTGCTCCCTAGCATATGCCATCAGATTGGCTCAAATAAACTCATAAATAACAAACAAAAAAAAAATCCATGTAGTGGAGAAGAACAAAGTGCAGAACAGTGTATTCAGTATACTATCTTTTCGGATAAAAGGGGATGAAAAAAATAAGGACATATTCCCATATTTACATATGTATGTACACAGTAATACAGATGAAACTAATGAGATTACTGACACTGGGTACAGGTGGTAGGAAAGAGGGAGGGTGACTTCATTGTATAGCTTTTAATATTTTTTTGGTTTTGAACCTTATGAATATCTTACCCATGAAAAAGGTTAAATATTAATAAAATGAAAGGTTAACTAACTTGTCTAAGGTCATAAAGCTAGTGAGTGGCAAAGCCTGCATTCCAACTCAGGTTCCTCAAGTCTGCATTCTTAAACATACCCTCTCAAATTCATCTACTCCCTGCTGCTGTCCCAAGGCGGGAGCTGAACACGTGATGCCTGGTGGTGAGGGAGTAAAGCTCCACCACTTTCCTTTCTGAGCTTCTTGACGTTTAGCTGAGAGCAGCTGAGCTGGGCTTTCATTTCTCCCTATTGAGTTCTACTGCAGACTATTCACTCCCAACTTCCCCATTCCAGAAGGAGAAACAGCCCATGAACCCTAAGATACACCACCTTATTTCTAACCTAGAAGGAGATCCTATTCCAGAACAGCCCTGGTTTCTTATTTAGATCTCCAAGGACCTAGGTTTGAGTGATATGACAGCCACACCCCAGTGAGCTGGCCCCTGAGCCCAAACAGCTGGTCCTGCTGGACAGAGGCACATCTCTGCAATGCCCCATGAGAGTTAGGGCCAAAGAGGGCCCCACGTGCCACCCACATGGTTACCTGATGCACAATGCTGCTCATGAGCTCCCTATTGGTCATACTGGCCAGCTCTAGGTGAACTGGAATACCAACAGGGATGTCAGAAATGGAGGTCACAACCTGAAAAAAGAGGACAACATTGCCATTAGATATAGAAGTCGGGCAAAGGGAAGAAAAAATCAGGTCCTGAGAGGCAATGTGTACTGTCACTGTCTTCTTTGCATCCTCATGACAGCTCCAAGCCATGTAGGTTTCCATGGCCGCTGTGGATCAGGAATGCTTTTCCCAACGGGGACACCTAGGCTCTGCAGAGAGGCACTGCTGGGTTACAGACTCAGCACAAAGGACCGCCCCTGTATGTATGTTCATGTAGTCAGCCTACTCCTGGGGACCTAAACTGTTGGCTTCAACTGCTGTATGAATCTGCAGCAATAGCTGATGGGAAGTGAGATGACACAGATAACACAAAGGACATAAACTATAAACACGGCAGCTTTCAGCCACAATCAGTTTAGCACAGGATACAGAGGCTCAGGCAGGAAGATGTTCTGACCTGTCCTATTCAAGCTGCTGCCTGTGTCTGAAAAAAGACTGTGAGGTGCCTCCCTAGAGCAAGAGGCCAGTTTGGAGCCAGCTGCCATATGTCCTGGGAAGGCCAGGACTGAATACAAAGCAGCATAAGCTGCAGAGGCCAAAAGAGGCGGGATTCTGAAAAACACACTAGCTGAGATCTGTGAAATTCTTTAACAGTGCTATTACCTCCAAGAGTCTCTTCCTCTGTTGCTCCTTGCTTTGTCCCTCCATCATGTGCAATCCAGAGAGCACCACCAGGTCTGGCTGAAACTCCTCTAGGCTAGACACAAACACCTCCAGCATATTCATGGCCCCGTTGGAGAGGTCGTGGGAGAAGATGAATCGGTTGGCATGGGGAGCTTTTAATTGGCCCCACTTCTCCCCTAGAAAAGCCCATTTAATACAATGGGAAGAAAGGAAGAGGCTTTAAATCTCCTAGATGTAGAGAGGAGGTGTGTGTGGGGGGCTTGCAGGCCCCCCTTCTCCCCTCCTGAGCCTTTGCTCTGGGCAGCTGGCTTCTGGCTGAGTGGACCCTTGCTACAACGGCCTAAGGTAAGCATGGCGTCACATCCAGTAAGACAGTTGTCAGTAATGAAAAGAACCAAAACTCAAACCCCAAACCAACAAAAATACAGAAACACAGTATGAGTACTAGTCGCCTTTGTCAAAGGGCTAGCAATTAGCTCCCCCCGAGTCCCAGGAAAGCTCTGCTCTCTGTTGAGCTTTTCAAACACAGGATGCCTGTGTCCTTTCTCAGTTACAGAGCAGTAGCATGACTTCCAAATACCAGCATACAATGCACACCATGCATGTCCATGCACACAGCAATGCTGCCTTTCTCTCTCCATCTCGTGCACTGAGCACCTTTCACTCAGGTGGGATCTAAGAAGGCTGAAATTCCAAGGGTCAAGCTAACTGTACTCCCTCCTCCCTGCCGCCCACCAGTGGTTCCAGGCACTTGGTCCAGAAGGTAAGAGCATATGGTTGCTCTAACATCCTCTGAGTGAGCTGTTATGGAATAACGACTACTCAAGACCAAGTTCAAGTGCCACTTCCTGAATGGTTGCTGACTACTCCAGCCTGAGGTACACTTTTGGTACTTTAAGATTCCACAGAGATTTTTCTTTCCATGGTCAGTGATAATCATTTCTCTTTGAGTTATCTCTTCTACTACTTTTAGCTAATAATCAACCCTATGTCATTATTTAACGTTTCACACTTGTGCCACATCTCCTTGAATAGATTGTCAACTCTTTAAAGGTAACACAATGTGTGTCTGGTTCCCACAGCATTTGTCATGGCCCCTGGCACGGAGTGCCCACTCAGCACCTACTAATCTGATCCCAGCACAGGAAGGGAGATCCATCCTTGGGTGGGTCTCCTGGCAGGGGAGGAGTTTGGAATCTGTGCTCATCTATAGAAGTGGCTCTCAGCACTAGCCATGCATCAGAATTCCCCGGGGAGCCTAACTTTAGATATGCAGGTGGTGAGGCCCCACAGCTGGAGATCCTGATGTGCACTTAGCTGGAAAACCACAGATTAAGATCCCACAGCTGCCAAATACTTCAGAGGAGTGCTGTTGCTGTGAGTCTTAAAGCAGGGGAGGAGAAAGAGGTCTCTGAGCTCACTTGGTGAAGCTTCACAATCAGAGGCTTTATCACAGAGCTCACCTTTCTGTCCATAAAGGCTTGGCAGAAAATCTTGAAACTAAGTCAGCCTACAGGCCGCCTAGGCTCTGCAACTACTTAGGGCAATTATTAAATGAGGCCACCCTCAGAGTCGGGGGTGGGAAGGAGGAGAAGCCCGTCACCACCAGCATGGACACTCTGGAGCAAAGACTTACTATAATCCAGGTTTACATGGCTTTCCCTCCACATGAAAGATCTGTCTCATTTATAAAATGGAAGTCCATACACCGAAACCTAGTTGAAAACTTGGTTTCTATTACATTTACTGGATAGTCCTTCAGAAAGTTTTCTCCCAAGACAGACAACCCACAGCAGAGGGTTTCTTCATATTCCAGGTGATCTGCCAACTACAGTTAGCAATCTCCTTCATCCTTTCTACAATGGGCCTCTCCAAACGGAAGCCCGGCCTCTCCGTGGGGAGTGCATGTGCACATGCTTACTCTAGAGCAAATTACTTTGCTTTCAGTTCAGCTTTAAAAAAACTGATTAGAGAGAGAGGAAGGGAAGAGGGAGAAAGAGAAACATCTATGTGAGAGACAAGCATCCATCGCTGCCTCCCACCTGCATCCTGACTGACTGGGAATCGAGTCCTAGACCTGGGCATGTGCCCTGACTGCGAACTGAACCGGCAACCTTTTGGTGCACAGGACAATGCTCAACCAACTGAACCACACTGGCCAGGGTGAGTTTAGCTTTTTCTTTTTTTTTTAATTTTTAATTTTTTTTTGCATTTATTTTCAGATAGAGTGGGAGGGACAGAGGGAGAGAGAGAGAGAGAGAGAGAGAGAGAGAGAGAGAGAGAGAGAAACATCGACATGAGAGACACATCAAGTGGCTGCCACCCCAACCAGGGCCAGGGACAAACTGCAACCGAGGTACGTGCCCTTAGCAGGAACCGAACCCAGGCCTCTCTGGTCTGTGGGATGATGCTCTAACCACTGAGCAAACTGGCCAGAGTGAGTTTAGCTTTCTTGAATCCATTCTTCTGAAAAGCATTTTATATGTGGGTCATTTACATAAAAATCTATGAAAGCAGGAAAAAAAGAGAGTACCTATTTACTCACCTCCAGTGCAATGATTATATTTGTTAAAATAATATTCCATTCTTAGCTCCTGGCCAGTGTTCAAACAAAATACCCAGTGACGGTCTACAGAGCTGAGAGTAGTATTCTATCTCTGCTTCATTTAAAGATCAGACACAAGAATGAGCTTTCATGAAGCCTTTTCTAACTCTGTCACCCCCAAGAAGACCTAATGACTTCCTTCCCTGGGCCACTGCTGCACCCAGTTATAGGTCTAGGCACTTGACTTTGCAACCATTTGTTCAGGAGTCTGTGTCCTTGTGTCCTGCAGTGGATCGTGAGCAGAGGGCAGAGCCGTGTCTTCTATCATCATACTCCTACTGCCTCACACTGTACCTGGCACACAGCCACAGGAATGAACAGCAAGATACATAAATAAGAGAACAGACTGATGACTCTAATGCCCACAACAACAAAAAGTATGGGTATGAACTCCAAGTCCAATGTTTTCCCAACTAATGAGACTCTGTACGAGGGGAAAATACAGGACATTAATATTCTCTGTAGGGCAAGACCTGGAACTGGCCCTTAAAAAGTGAAGCTGCTAAGAAGCACTGCCTAAGTTAACCTAGGAAAAAAAAGCCACACAGCATCAAAAATAAATCAATTCCTGTAGGAAAAAAGTGAGAGAGGCAAAAATAAATGGGCTCCCACAAGGTGAAGACAGGAGGGATGTGAAGCTCTTCCACTGGCTGTTCTCCAGGACTCGGGACTGATAAGTGGCCTGGGAAGCAAGGTGACTGAAACTCGGGGTGAGCCCTAACTACAGGTTAATGCCCATCTTTTCTCAAAAAGCCTTGAATTTATTTAGTCATTCTTTCTCTCAATTTATCGCCCTGCTCTTCAGCCACTAAGTCAGCAAAACCTATGTAATGACTCACTGGATCCCCAGCCCAAAGCCTGAAAATAAGCTTCTCTGAAGAAGTCTGGCAGAAGAGGAGGAAAAAACATTGACAACTCTCTCTGGGAATTTATTCATCCAGGTTAGAGAGAAGCAGGGGATGAACTTCTGTTAAGAGAGCTGACCCTGCCCTGGCCGGTTTGGCTCAGTGGTTAGAGTGTTGGCCTGCAGTCCAGAGAGACCCGAAATCGGTTCCTGCTAAGGACATGTACCTCGGTTGCAGTTTATCCCCGGCCCTGGTCGGTTGTGCGGGTGGCAGCCACTCGATGTGTCCCTTTCACGTCGATGTTTCTCCCCCTCTCTCTCTCCCTCCCACTCTATCTGAAAAAAATATCAAAAAAAAAAAAAAAAGAGAGAGCTGACCTAACAGCTACTGCTACCAGACTAGGTTTCCTCCAGGGGCTGATAAAAATGTTTAACTTCAGCCCTGGCTACTGTGGCTCAGTGGTTAGAGTGTTGGCCCACACACTGGATGGTTGCTGGTCAAAGGTAATACCTAGGTTGCAGGTTTGATCCCTGGCCTTGGTTGGGGCGCATATGGGAGGCAACCAATTGATTTGTCTCTTACACCAGTGTTTGTTTCTCTCTCTCTCTCTCTCTCTCTCTCTCTTTCTACCACTCTCTCCCTCCCTTTCACTCTAAGAATCAATAGAAAAAATATTCTCAGGATTAACAACAACAACAACAAAGTAACTTCACATAAAAGGTCATTGCTTTGTCTAAAAAATATGGCTGAGGGGAAAAAAACTGAAGTGTGAAGCTTACAAACTGAAGGATAGAGACAATCTCCTGTCAAGATAAGCTGTGCCATTCTCTGAACTACATACAAGGCACATCTGTCAAATACAACAGCAGTCTTTGTGAGGAAATCAGTCTCTCTACTGTTATCTCCAGGGAAAATGATAGAAACCAGGAACCAGAAAGGTCCCAAGTCCATGACGCAAATGCAAACAAATGGAAGTGAGAAGAACATGGAACTGGCAGCAGCATCAGCAGCACATCGAAGGCACGACTTTAGCTACTCTAGACCCTTTCAGTCACCAGTCTTGTTCATGCCTTCCATTTGAGCAGTTCAGTGCTTATACACACTTCATTCTTACCACAACCTTTAGGCAATAGGAACCGTCACTCTGATTTCCCATTTGGGGAAACTAAAACTGAGAGAAACTCAAAACTTGTGTATCATTAAATGTGAACTGCCTACCCCAACATTCAATCCCTAATTTTCAGACCCTCACCTTCCTAACTTCCTGATTCTAGTTAATACCCAAAAGAGAACCAGAAACAAGAAACAAATCCTTTTTTATATTTGGAGAAAGGTATAATTTTCAAGAAGCATTATATTTCATATTTTACATTACAGTTAATTACTCTAGTAGGTGAAGTTCTCTTAACTGTCTGACTTGGAAGCAGTTCACTGAAGCATATTCAGTAAGTACTGCTTTTAAGGCACCAATTACTCTGTTTTGATGCTTGAGTCTTTAACTTCAATTAACGCGTTGAATCAGAAATTCAAGAGGCTGACTTCTGAGCAGAGGAAAGATACCACAGCAAATACACAGAACCAAATAAACAGAACTAAATTATGTTCAGATATTTAGGATTCTTTCAGAAATCAGATCTGTAGCCTACGTAACATAAAATCTCCTGGGGGAGGGCTGGATGGAGTGGTCTGGAGCGATAAACACTGAAACACTGTATAATGGGAAATAATATGTGTTGTTAAATATAAAACACTTCCAGTTACACACCCAGGGGAAAACAAAATGCTTCAAAGGAGCTTGCCAGAGGCCCCAAATCAAATCTAAGCAGCTTGGAACAGTTGGCCAGAAAGGCTGTGGGCAGAATCCAGCACGGAGTTGAGCAGATGTATCTGCCCTTCTCTTTCCTTAGTAACAAAGAAAAACCTTATAGGTGTATGTTTAATGCATTTTCCTTTTTATTCAAGATGCCTGCGTTTCTACAGCCTGATTTCTCTTGCAGACCTGGGGATTTTCTTCACTGTTAAAATATTGTAGCACTATCTCTTGAAAACAATGGCCAGTATCAGTGCAGGAAACCTTTGGTAAGGCAGGAACAGGATCCTACTAATTCACACATAAATTTGTAGCACAGTCACACCTCAGTCTAATAATACACAGACCCCTGATGAGTTTCACAACATTACTTACTCATTTCTTACCTGCTTGATACTCTAAAATGAGGTGGAACTCATCCACTTCCTGAAGTGACTCCGGTGGAACAAATACATTGTCATCAAGAAGTTCATGCAGTTTTGGACCAACTGGACCACAAAGAAGAACCTGGAGACAATAAATATAAAGTCTATCATACCTGTGCCTTTTCCCATGGAATATGTATAGTAACTGAAAAGGTACATCCAGGATACTTCTTTCCATTTTTTTTTTTTAAATCCTCACCTGAGGATATTTTTCCATTTATCTTCAGATAGAGTGGGAGGGAGGAAGAGCAAGGGAGGGGAGGAGAGAGAGACAGAGACATACATTAACTGGCTCCCACATGACCCTGACCAGGGCTGGGGACCAACCGCAACCGAGGTATGTGCCCTTGACCAGACCTGAACCCACGACCCATTGGTCTGCAGGCTGACGCTCTAACCACTGAGCCAAACAAGCCAGGGCAGGCCACTTCTTTTCATTTTAACAAATACTGGAATCCCAACCTAATTTTGAAAGTTATGTAGTAGAGGCTCTGTTATCAGTGTTTAATTGCCAATGAGATAGTATTTGGAGCTAGAGCTTTCAGGAGGTAATTAAGGCTAAATGAGGTCATATGGTTAAGGTTGTAATCCAGTAGGATTGATAGCCTTATGAGAGAGATTTATTTATCTTTCTCCACCATACACACTGAAGAAAGGCCATGTGAGGTCACAGCGAAAAGGTGGCTGTCTGTAAGCCAGGAAGAGGGCCCTCACCAGAAACCAAACCATGGAACCTTGATCTTAGACTTTCCAGACTCCAGAACTGAGAAAATAAATTTTTGTTTTTTATGCCACCCAGTTTATGGTATTTTGTTATTATGGCAGATTAAGACATACCCTGCTCTACTTTCCCTTTTTCTTTCCCCACATTGTGTGTATTAAAATAGATACGGGATGTTGAAAACAACTGTTTGAATTTTACACAGTACAGAAAAGAACTAACCTCAAGAATCATAACACCCTCCACAACCAGGTGACCTGATTTGTGAGAACAGACTCCCTACTATACTTAGCTGTTATGTGAACAGGATAGCCTTCCAAATATGAGAATGAAAAAGTACTGGGGGCAGACGCTCTGTAGTTTTTCCAAAACCTTTTCTTCAACTCTGACCTGCGCCTCTCCCAGGCTGCTACAGTTTCTGCCACACCAGCTCTGGACCTCACTCAGAGCCAGTCTAACAGACTCAAATCCCCTGACGGATGATGGATTCGACCAGAACTTAAAGGAAAGTACCCAGAGACAACAATACCATTTCAGACCTAATATGCTCCACCCAGAAGATTCAAAGGCATTTGTACTTGCTAATTAACTGCCTGTTTTTACAGAAGCTCTTTCATGTATCCGAGAAATCCAGGCTTCTGGGTGAAAATACAGCTATCTCCCCTTGACCTACTCCCTTTCAGTTTTGACACGTGCCCATTATTTGCCAATTCTGAAAAGTCTTGTTCCTACCATTTTCTTCTCTAATTCTTGACTAGAACTTCAGCTTCCAAGACGAGATAACAAGAGCCAGTTTACCCTCCTGCCTGAAATAATAAGGGAAAACAGATAAAATATGTGGAACAATGGTTTTTAAAATATTTGAACATTGGGCAACAAAGAACAGTGATCCTGAAGAAACAGGAAAAAACTAATTAAGCCCTACAAATGCTTCAGCAAATGATTTTAAAAGAATTTCCAGATACACAATTCTGAAAAAACTCATCAGCAGATCTGCACAGTAAGAAATGTGAAAGGAAATCCTTCAGACAGAAGGAAAATGATAGCAGATGGAAATATAGCTCTAAACAAAGGAATGAAGAACACCACAAGTGGTGCTGGATAAGGAATATCTCTTATTATTTAAATCTCCTTAAAGAGAATTAACTGCTTAAAAAATATTAACACCATACCGTGAGGTTTGTAAGATATGCAAAGGTTATAATAGTATAAAGACAAGAGGAGAGAAATGGAAGGATACTGCTATAAGGTTCTTATAGTCTATGTGGTGGTATACTAACATCTCTTGAAATCAGACTGTGATAAGCTAGTGTACATTATAAACCCCCAAAGCAACCGCTAAAATAACAAAACAAAGAATTATAGCTAATAAGCCAGAGAAGATAATATGAAATCATAGAAAATAATCCAAAAGAGTGCAGAAAAAGAGGAAAAAGGGAAGGTAAAGAGGTGGGATAAATGGAAAAATAGCAAGATGTCAGATTTAAACCTAACCTGATATAGCAACAATCACATCAAATGTAAATGGTCTAAATACTCCAATTAAAAAACAGATTGTCAAAGTATTAAAAAGCAAGCCTCAATTATATGCTGCCTATGAGAAATAAGTTTTAAATATAAATACACAAATAGTTAAAAACAGAAGAATGAAAAAGCTATATCATGCTTAAACTGATCAAGAGAAAGCAAGAATGGTTATTTTAATCAAAACATTTCAAAACAAAGAATATTATAAAATGATTCTTTTTTTTTTTTATCCTCACCTGAGGACATTTTTCCATTTTTTGTACAGACAGAGTGGGAGGGAGAGAGAGGAAGAGAGAGAGAGAGGGAAACATCAATGTGAAAGGGACACATCGAGTGGCTGCCACCTGCACGACCAACCAGGGCCGGGGACAAACTGCAACCAAGGTACATGCCCTTAGCGGGAACCGAACCCGGGTCTCTCCGGACCGCAGGCAGATGCTCTAACCGCTGAGCCAAACCGGCCAGGGCTAAAATGATTTTCTTTACCCCTGGTAATGATAAAAAGGTCAATTCATGAAGGGGAAGTAGCAATCCTAAACAGTTATGAACCCAATAATAGAGCTTAAAACTACACAAAGAAAAATGTTATAGAACTACAAAGCAAATAGATAAGTCCACAATTATTGATGAAGATGTCAATACCCGTTTCTCAATAATTAATAAATCAAGTAGACAGAAAATCAGTAAGAATACAGAAGGCTAGAACAACACTATCAAGCAATATGGTCTAACTGACATTTACAGAACACTCTACCCAACAACAGCAGAATATACATGCTTTTCAAGTGCATATGGAATTCACCAAGATAAAACCTTACTCTGGGCTATAAAAAAGTCTCAATAACTTTAATAGGAGTCAGGGAAGCATATTATATTGTCTGACCACAATGGAATTTTTTTTTTTAATCCTCACCCGACAATATTTTTACATTTATCTTCAGACAGAGTGGGAGGGGGGAGATATAAAGAGAGAGAGAAAAAGAGAGAGAGAAACATCGATGTGAGGCACATTGACTGGTTGCCACCCACACGACCCCAACTGGGACCAGGGATGAACCGCAACCAAGGTACATGCCCTTGGCGAGAATAAAACCTGGGAATCTTTGGTCCATAGACTGACGCTCTAACCGCTGAGCAAAACCGGCCAGGGCAAGGAAATTAAAATAGAAATAAATAACAGAAAGATATCTGGAAAACACCCAGACATTTAGAAACTAATACACTTCTAGGTGGTCTATGGATGGGCTAGTAAAAAGCCTATTTCCAGAAATCAAAGGAAAATTAGAAAGCATTTGAACCAAATGAAACTAAAAACACAAACCTGTGGGATACAGCTAAAACAGTTCTTAAGAAGAAATTTATCATATAAACATCCTATATCAGAAAACAAGAAAGATCTCAAGTCCATGACCTCTGCTTCTACCTTAAGAAACTAGAAAAAGAAGAGCAAGTTAAATTCAAAGTAAACAGAAACAAATAAAAAAGAAAAAAACGATATAGAAAAATCAATTATCCTTCCAGTCAAGATGGCGGGTAGGTAAACACTGTATCGTGTCCTCCCACAACCACATCAAAGTTACAACTAAACTACAGAACAACCATCATTCAAAACCGCCTGAAATCAAGCTGAACGTAAGTCCTACAACTATGGAATTAAAGAAGCAGCCACATCGAGACTGGTAGGAGGGGAGGAGGCGAAGGGGCTGGTCCCACACCCACGTGTAGCAGATAAAAATTAGGATACCTCGCTGGGAAGGTCCTCCCTAAGGACTGAGGGGTCCCCATCCCACACCAGGTGCCCAGCTCAGGGTTCCAGTGCCAGGAAGAGAAGTCCCCATTACTTCTGGCTGGAAAAACCAGCGGGAACTGAGTCTGAGGGAGGCTGAGACAGCTGAAGCCCCAGGCAGCTCCTCTTAAAGGGCCCACGCATGAACTTACTTGGACTCGCACCCTCCAGGCTCCAGCGTTGGTGGGGGGGGAGCAGCTTGAAAGGCACCAGAGACATATGAGGAAGAACTGAGTTGTTTGGCATTGGGGCGAGGGCTGGAGAGGCAGCTTTCTCCTGGACAGACGTGCTATCAGAGACCTTTGTTCCTTTGTTGAGCCCTTCCCTGGATCAGCAGACAGGGAACTCCAGCAACCTGGCTCACACTGGTAGCCCCACCCTAGTGATTCCCTGAGGGCCCGCCCGACCCAACTTTCAGGCCCACCCAAGCTGTTGCCAATTGTTTTACCATAGGATTGGCCTGTCTTGGATCCAGCTTCATGTTTTCCTAAATTCTTTCAAACAAGCAGCATCTGGTCTCATTAGCCCCATACCTCTCATTAAGTAAAACATAGGAAAAAACACAGGGAGGCAGCCAAAATGAGGAGACAAAGAATCAGGTCCCAAATGAAAGAACAGAACAAAACTCCAGGAAAAGAACTAAGCAAAATGGAAATAAGCAACCTAACAGATGCTGAATTCAAAACACTGCTTATAAGCATGCTCAATGAACTTAGTGAGAACCTCAGAGAACTTAGTGAGGGCCTCAAGAGCATAAAAAAGAACCAGTCAGAAATGAAGGAGGCACGAAATGAAATAAAGAATAATTTACACAGATTCAATAGTAGAGTACGCAAAGCTAAGATGCAAACCATCGATTTGGAATATAAGGAAGCAAAAAAACCCAATCAGAACAGCAAAAAGAAAAAAGAATCCAAAAAAGTGAGGATAGTGTAAGGAGCCTCTGGGACAACTTCAAGCGTGCCAATATTAGCATCTTGCGGGTGCCAGAAGGAGAAGAGAGAGAACAAGAAATCGAGAACCTATTCGAAACAATAATGGCAGAAAA